AAATTGATACTGATGTGATCTGTTAACTGTGAAACATAAAATCTTTTACTAAAAGTGCTGCAACATTGTTCTGCAGTCCAATGCAAACATTTTGTACATTCTCCAGAGCCGTGGGATGCGCCAGGAAGTTGGGGGTGGGGAGGTTTAGGGTGTAAGAGATAAAGTGTACATTGCATTCCTCTTGTCACGTTCTAATACGCTCTATAAAGTCTCTGAACTAGCAAACCCAGCTGCACACAGAGCACAAGAATAAACAGTATAAACTGGAACTGATTGGTCCGCACAGCCAAGAAAATCATATCAGATGTTCTGTGGCTAAAATAACTCTTTCATCCACAAAATGGGTGGAGGTCTTAGAACGGAAGAAAAAAAAGGATTGAACCAAAAGTGTCATATTAGCTGAACTGTTTATATTTGTTTTTTAAACTGTAAATATTTTTCTATCAAACTCAGCTTAAGTCTGAGAAAAAGTACTCTCCTCTCCTTCCGTTCTTAAAGTCCAAAACTCTTTAAGTATTTTGTCAGAAATATTTTTTATTCTATTTCCAGTGACATTATGTTCAGTTGAGGTACTGTTGCTGCCCATCTTAAATTGGGCATGAGACGACTTGCCTCATTCACCCATTTACGCCCATTCATACAACCACTTTTTCTGTGCTCTTTACTTTAGTCTTTCTGAATGCAGGATATTTTATTAAAGCTATTTAGCAGGAGCAAAGCAAAGGATGACTTAAATAATAATAATGAATGTGTCCTGTTTGTGTCCCACTGCTTACTTCACATCTCCCTCAGCAGCCTTTTCCAGCATTACTTTCAACAAAAGGTGAGCAGTTTGAATTTTTAATCTGAATTTAATATCAGTGTCTCTGATTTTATATTTATATTTTATATTTTATATGTTGAAACAGCACCTCTGTTTGTCATTAAACTCATTGTTGCTGTTGTAAGTGATGTAACTTTTTCTTCTTTGTTATTTTTATTTAATTTATTATTATTCATTTTTGCAAAGTTTTTTTGTTTTTCTTTCTTTTTCTACTTGACCCCTTTAACTCATTTGAACTTTGACATACAGACAACAATGAACCAAGACAGTTTCTACATTTGACAAACATCCAGCCACTCTCGTCAGCCCTTCCTGCTTTTCTCATTCCCTGATCGGCAGATCAGGTTTTACTTGGTTTCTGACCATACCTGGACTGGCCATTGGGCATACCGGGGATTTGCCCAGTAGGCGGTGATTTTTCGTTTTTTGATGGGCAGATGGTTTTTTGTTTGTTTGTTTTGTTTTTTTTTCTATAACGGTATAAACAATGAAAGTTCATGGATTGGCCAAAGTGTCATGATAAACTCTGGGCTGGACCAATTACAGCCGAGGAGGTTGGATGCTCCCTCCCCCTTGCTTGGGCAATGGCTCCGAAAGCAGTCTTATTGCAGACAAATATAAGAAAATGGTACTGAGGTGAAAAGGAACACGATTTGTCCCATACTTCAGCTAGAATTAAAAAAACAAAAGACAGAAAGCTGGAGTTATTCTGCATCTTTATGCTGCACAGCTGCCTCTTCTTCTCTCCTTCTCTCCCTCCCTCTCCTGTTTGGCACTTCAGTCATAAAACTGATTAATGATCAGCTGATCATCTTTTCTGTCCCGTCTCTCTCGCTTGCCCACTTTGCGCCAGAAAGAGGAAACCAGCGGATGTCGAGCTAAACAATAGCAGCACGTTTAAGCTTCATAAGCTGTTGTTAGAATTGATTTAATATTACTTTGTAGTATCAGGTGATGTTTGCTGGAGCCACAGCTGTAAAAGCTGCTGGTCATGATGTTGGTTTGGTTAACTGGTGAGAGGGAATGAAGATGAAACCAGGAAATGTCCTTACTGAATCATCAGAGCTGAACAGGTGATGGAGAAACAGGTTTACTTTTTAGGTGACATGAATGAGTTGAAGGGAAGTTATGAACTGTTTCTGAGAGACAAATAACACCAGGATCCTTTGTAGCTGATAGCTGGTAACTGTGCAGGGGCAGGTCTAGCAAAGTTTTGCCAGGGGGCCAGGTAGGGCATTAACAGGGAAATTCTCATTTAAAATGTCTGGTTTTTAATAAATAATTATCTGAATCTTACAAAAAAAGTTTTCATCTGATGTAAAATGTATAAAAATCTATTATTGTATCTAGTAAATATTAAGTCTAATATATACTCTAAGCTATGGTAGTTTTTCCTTTCTGAAGGTATCATCTGTGCAGTCTACAATTATGTTGAAGAAATTATTATTTAATTATTGTAGTGTGTTAATAATTGATTTCTGTGCATTTGTTTTTACATGTGCATTAAATTAAAGACGATTGTGTCAATTAAGCATCACGAGGCGGAGGGTGGGGGGTGGTTCCCTATTTTTGTTTTTTTGGGGGGGTAGGATTTGTCAA